GCCTAAAATTGGAATTTATGATTTACGTCTATCGTCATCAGGTATTCCTCTTAAAGCAGTCAAATGCTCTCCATTCATAACATCGAATTTTGTTTCACTTCGTTATCTTCATTCGACTGTTCCTTTTGCTATTGCTTTATTTGTGTGCGATTGGTCCAAATTAATGTGGTTGTCAAAATTATCAAGCTTTTGCAATGAAGAGACTGATCATAACCAAATAATGAATGATCTTTGCATTTGTGTCCCTTGGAATTGTACAAATCGGTAAATGATCTTTATTGTTGTTGAGCAATTTTCAGCTGACAGTTGTGGACCACCGTTGTATGGGCACATTTGTTGTCGTATTGTTGCACAGCCAAATTCGGTTGTGATGCCTCTCTCAGAGGGTGTACTCACCGTGAGTTCACTCGATGAAGATCGATGCTATGAGGGTGTTCGATGTCGTCTTCAGGTTTTCGCTTCAGTTCTGTTTGCGATTCGATGTGCTCATTCGCACTTCTCGTAATTTCTTTATTTTATCAGTTTGAGTCGGCAAGTGATCATCGTCGCTACTTGTTCATACTTACCCAACAAATCATTGCTACTTCCAGGCAGGTGTACTGAGTTGTTGTTCGCCGTCTTCAGTATGTAATTCTCGTAACGATCAACCTCTGTTGAATGTTTGCTTCAGCAAGGTAATTAGTTGATCCGCTGTTTGTTCTTTGTTTTATTACTACTTATCACGTTCTTTTTCATCCATCCAACTGAATTCCGTTCAGCCTTGAAAATGTGCGATATTTTTCGATGGATTATTCAGTAATCCAAGTCAAAGTTGTTTTGGGACTCCTTGGGGGTCACCGGGGATAAAGCTGAGGTATTAATTTATTTTAGAAATAATTTAGAAATATTAATTTAGAAATATCGACACGCACAAAAACGTGGATAATAGATCAGTAATTCCCTTATCTACCTCAGTCTGGATTACATAAGCCTTCTTAATCACTCATTATTAGCCACTATATGCGTTCAAAAAATTGAAGCATTGAAATTCAATTGGTCCCAAAAATTCCCGATGAAAAAAGCTGTCAGGATGTGACTTCGCACTCCAGAATGCAATTCGCTGAGCAGCCTTCGATAATTTTCTTTGAAAAATATTCAGAATTCAAAAATTTTGTCGAGTCGTTATGCGAAAAGTTTAATCGTAACGTCAGACCGACATGTACCCAATGGAAGGCATCAGAAACACTATTTGCTAATAGCCGATAGTGAGGAGGATATCGCCGCTTGGAGACATGCGTTCAGTTTGCAGATTTCCGATTGTGGTACTTTTTTTGTTCGCACTTTTTGATGATCCTTTTCTCTGTTGCAAGTGTACGATGTTTGTTTCGATTGTTCAAAGTAAAAAGCAAATAGCTTATTTTTGGTTCAGTTAACAAATGACTGAAACGAGACAAGCGATTGATTTGAAAATTGAAGTGAATGAAAGATGAATGTTTCAGAAAGATGGGGTGAATTCGCAATTTGTCCAGTGAAGCTGACAAGTGAGCCACGAGCAACGGAACCAGCTACACTAAGCAGGGCAAATGGCAGACGACTTTATGATGAGATACAAATAAACGATGGTCAGTGGAACGGTTTCACTGCTTTCCTTACCTATATGATGCAAAGAATGTTGAACTCATTAACTCACATCTAAAGCGAATGAAAATTCTGAAGTGAATCTAATAGTTTTGTAGTCGTTAGCATAACTCGATCTGAAGAAGTGATATCACTAGTGAAATACACGCAATGTGTAGTGCTAGAATGAGGTTCAGGCTTACGACTAGAATTTGGTTATGTAAACATACAATTGCAAGTGTTCATGAGATCAAGTTTACAAACAACCTCAATTTTCTGAAACGACGAAAGAAATTTCCTTCGTGTTCCCAAGAACAGTGCGTTCGTTGACAGAGATATTCATTATAACAATTCAAGTAGAATTGGCAGTTATGATTGATGAATGCGTTTGAGTAGTTGACTCATTACTGAGGGTTTAATTAACAGATATACGTTTCGATTGTATTTCGAGAGTGATATCTCTGTTTCTCTCACCTCACAGAGAGAACCTGCCTCTCATAAAATTCAGTTGCATGTATGGTTTGCAGTGAACGTTTGATGGACATCTCTGGTTCTTCTGCATCCAACGAGAAAATCTTTCGCCTTTTACTAAAGATTTCCGTGCAGAAGAACATTCATGAGTTAACTCTAATTTTTGGAGTCCCGACTTCGGTCAGGGACAATTTGATTTGAAGAATGGGGCAGAGAGCATGACAGTGTTCGTAATTAGGTCTATAATAATATTGATGGAAATTGGTCATTGTAGAGAAGTACACAACGAATACGGTTCGTGAGGCATGCAGTCCATATCGATATCTACCTGAACCATCCACTTACGCAACATTCACACAAGCATCTTCAGCCGCATTCGTTCCTCAGACTGCACCTTCGGGACGACGAAAGACTCGAACACCTGTTCAATCCCTTTTCCAGGTTATTCCTTCCATCGAATAGTCGTTGTACTCTGCTGGGAAGTGTTTAAATAATAAGGTTAAGGTTTCGAACGTAGCATAAGAACTGATTGTACCATCCATCTTATCTTATCTTTCTTATTGCTTTGTTTTTCGAAAACAATTATTGCTTAATTTAAGCCAGCTGCTGATGGTGAACCGAGATATGTGATTAATTTACCTGTTGGCGATGTTAACACCACTGCACCGACGTCAAATTATACTGCACCGACATCCAATTATACTGCACCGACATCCAATTAT